CCAAGATCAAAACATCTCCATGCACCTCTTCATTAAGATTACAGATTTATGAGCCTTCACACTGCCCCCCAAGTAAGCTGTTTTAAAACAACTGGCTGTAGAAAAGGAGAAAAACATTCATAAGAAGTTGGAAACAGATCCATGAAGGAAATCCACTAGAGGTTACTAGTCTCCATTGACTTCTTTTGTTACACACCACCTCGTGCAACAAGCAAAGGTCAATTTCAACCACACATTCAAAAGGGGGTTAAAAAAGCTTACCAAAATTGTTACTATATCAAATAATCATTATTTTTATTTACTTGGTTGCAGCACTGTGCGGATGTTTTAGGAGCCATCTCAAGCTTGCAGGAAAGGATTTTCCACTCCCTTCCTTCCTTCCCCTCTCCTCCCTGCCAGCAGTTACAGTTTAAAGGATCTAACTCTTCTGAAATGTGTTAACTCAAGCAATTTTTTTAACAGTTGGAAGTTTCAGGGGGAAAAAAATGAACCCGAAACAAAACAGCAGATGTTCAAGACACAGACTTCTATCTTCCCTTCCATGTGAAACTAAATGGCAAAGACACATACTTTAAACAATAACAGTTCCAAAGAGACAAAAATATATTGTTCACCCTCTTAGAAATACTAAACAAAAAATTCAAATTGCCAAATACAGATAAGACAATTATATCACTTTTTATAATCTCTAAGATCATGCCTGAACAAGATAAGGTGTTTCCTTTTACTTCTTTCATTCACATTTTGATACAAGTATAGAAACTCACTGACTGAGTAGTTTTGGTGCCTTGAGAATAAAGCAGAACTTCACAAACAATCTTATAGATGCACTTAAAAAATTAAAGTAGGTGGTACTTAATGTAAGAGTTCAGTTCTGCGAAAGCGAGCTAAATCCTTTAACATTGTATACAATGTAAAGGAAAATAGTCTGTCACCTCGAGCTAGTGATACAAAATTACAATTCTTATACTTCTGAGAGAAAGAAACAAAAAGAAACGAATCCCATTTATTTCTGTAACCACAGATCTCTGCTCAATCTTAGGCACCTCAGCCTCCCCCCGCCGCAGCACCATCCCCGCACACGGGAGGTGATGTGCCACATCCCTCTGGGCACAGACTGCTCCGTGGAGCTGCATGTTCCGAGTTATGGCCAGCCCAGGTCTTGCAAGTTTAATGAGGTTCCTCCTCACACACGCAGACACCACACACAGAGCCAACTGGGAAATCGTAAAGTAGGATTACAGGTGTAGCTTCTTGATAGGTTAAACCTATAGATAGAGTGAAAGGCTAATCTACGCTTTTAGCCTGAGATTGGCAAAACCTTTCTCCATTTAATTGTCCTTAGAAACCAACTTTAACCTTCAACTTTCAGAAAACCTAACCTGCAACACAACACTTAACAGAGCTACATGAAAAGACTGATCCAAAGCTTTGTCCCTCCACACACAGGCCAAACTTCAAATCAGTGTTAAATTCCTCACGTGCAGCTACACCCAGTTAATCTTCTCAAAAGCAGCAAACTATGTAAATCTCCTCATGCTGGCAAGACAAACATTACACTCATCAAAATGCAACAAGAATCACCCTTACTGGGCAAAGCTGTTAAAAGGCACAGACACTGGGCTGAGCACCCAGGCCGAGCTGGTGGGACCCTGCACTCGCCTCCTTCCCAGGCCTCCAGAGCTGCTTCTGCCTTCCTCTTCGAGAAACCTGAGAGCAGAGCAACCTCCCCGCACAAAGCGATTTAAAATCCCTAATCAAATAGCTGGAGTAGCTCTGTAGATTCAAGGAGCAGATGGCAGGAGAAAGCCTAATTTTCCATTTACGATAATTTTACAGAGTGTAGAAATATTTACTTCAGAGGAGCGCCTCCCGATTTACATGAGAATGACAAAAGTGGGAGGAGGGACAGAGAATCATCTTGTTCCCCACAAACCAAGAGCTACAAAAACCCGTATTAAGCAGTGTATTGTATGTCATTCTCTTTCCTTTTCATTACACATGCACACACGTGCATTCTTTACAATAGCTCAAATAACCTTGATAGCAAAAGTCTTAGCTCACACCTTTTTCAGACAGGATGTATGGCTATGAGTGTTGTGATAGGTTATTATTGCAGATGTCGTGTGGCTTTCATTCTTTAACAAGACCTACACCTGCATTTCAAATAAGTTCTCAGATGAGCTGTCACTCATTTAAGCAACATCTCAATTTTAAGCCTGGTATTTTTAATATGACTGTTTCTCAATAATGCAGGAAATTCTTTTGAGCAGAGACCACATTTTAGTATTTTTACAAGTACTTTAGAAGAGAGAATAGGATCAGGCCAGTCAAATCTGACCTGAAATTGTTGACTCGCTCCTACATGCCAGAGTTACATAGTGTAGATACGACAGGTAACAAACATAATATTATAGGCACAGATTTGTTTACAAAACAAAACATAGTTATTTGGGAAAACAAAAAGAGAGTATGGGTAAAGATCTGAAACTACTCTACCTATATGGCATTTTGTCAATATTTTAAATTAAGGTAGAAATTCACATTATATTACAATGTCTTAAAAATAAATCAGGTTAGTGTCACCTTGCCTTCTCTCAGTGAATCACTCATTTTTTCAATTGAATCTGCTATAGATGCTTAAAAATGAAACAGGATAATACTAAACATGAAGTGCTCTTTTATTACTCTGATATGTATTAAAATAAACACAGAGCCAAGCTTCTCAAAAGATTTTAATTTCTCTTTTAAGTTACTTGAAATTGTTTCAGTTTCACATAGGACACACTGTCAGCATAGGAAATCCAGTTACTCCTTTTAGAGACATTGGTTGAGAACTTTTCCTATACTAACAGTACCTAGTGTCTCAGGCTAAAGCTCAACTACAATGCAATTGTCTGACTATGGGTTACACAGAGCATACAGGGACTTAATCTCAACCTTTCTTAATTATCAAGGGTTGAAAAATTAGGCTTGCAGCACTCTTGAGCACTGTTTGATATCAGCTCACCCCTGCAGGTGAAGTCTGAGTGAAAGGGAGATCAGAAAGCCAATGGCTAATCGACGTGAGTCTACATGAATGAAGCTAATAGGCGTTTTCCATGGGCTTAACTGCAGAAAAGCACAGACCCTGGCTCCTTATGTAGGAAGTGTTTAGAGCAGAGAATAGCTACACACTAACAAAAGAAACCTTTGGTACCAAGGGTCTTAAGCCCACATAATACCCCCGCATTCATTTCTTTCTCTGCCTATTGGGGGAAAAGGGTCTGTTTGTTTTTCTGATTCAGTCGGCCCTTTTAGCTCCTTGAATCTAAGAAGTGCACTGTGAAAAGAAGAGCATCTTATCAGCCTGCTCCAGAGCAGCAGGCAAACTCACATCCGCACATAAAACACAGCCCTGCCAGCACGAGGCCTGGCCCCACTGCTCTCGGCTCCTGCCAACACCCTGCCCCGCACCCGACACACTGCACAGCCACACAAGGGGCCTTCCTTGATTAATGGTCCTCTCAGGGAGAGCACGAAATACTATCTGATGCACTGGCTTCATTTATAAAGTATGCAGGAGCACCAGACAAGATGATCAGCATGGGCGTATCCAGGACATTTATTAACAACAAACCAAAACCAGCGCACACAATCAGCATGTTTTGTTATGTATGGACTTGAACACTTTGACTACAAGATGCAAAGATAACTCCATGCACTGCTGGGCAGCATCTGCAGAGCGCTGCTGAGATAACACACCAGTGATTCTTATCAAAAAGATATTTCTATAAAATAACAGGGAGGAGAAAGGAAATAGCAGTTTTTACTTAAGCTTCAAGAAAATATGATTCCAACTTTCACTGTCAAGCAGGTCAGCTACACAGACCATGTGTCACCCCAACAATGCACCAAGCGTTCAAAATTTCCAAGCCTATGTCCTCATTACTTATATGGAACCCTTCACTGCTTGCAGCAGTGATATCTGATTTCCTATTTCTGCCCTTAATGCATTCTGACCCCAAGCAAAATAGGACAAACTTCCCCAGTATTGCTGACTGAACCTGTCAAATTACTCGTTTCAGCTACTAAGTGCAGCAGACACGGAAGGATTTTTTTCTCACCTGGAAAGAAGCCTGCCATAGTATTTTTGGCATGCTTTGTCAAGCCGGTAGCTTGTCAGCGACCTCTACTCCATTTACCCTCTGGCACACACACAGAGCACGCTTTCCCATTAACGTGAAATGTGAGGGGTTTTTGTTCCTTTTTTAAAATTTAATCGAAGAGTCAATGAAAAATAACACACTAAGCAGTAAATAATGTAAGATTAATACCAACATTGCATCTTGTGTGCGTAAAAAGTGCAGCCAAAGACAAACGGTCCAGCAAGGTTGTAACGCAACTATTTCAAATATTTTATTTCCAGCGACTAAACAAACAAACAAAGAAATACCTCTTTCAGTACAGCTCAATAGATGCGAGTGCTGCGAGCTTTTCAAAGAGATCATTCTGCCCATAAAATGTCACAGGGTCCCCCTGTGCCCCCCTCGGGGGGAGCTGGGCGCACCCGAAGGGCGGCAGAGGTTTTCTGGAGGGTTGTTTGAAAGAAATAATGCGCCCGGATCCCCTCGCTCGTTTCACCGCGAGTGAAAAACATCCAGCCCCAAGTTTCGCTGTTGCGACACCGGGTTCTTTCTAACCTGTTGCCGAGCCCGGCGGGGCCGGCACCCGCCCGGCCCCCGGCGGCCGCCCCGCACCGCCCCGCACGCCCCGCGAAGGTGACCCGGCGGCGGCCGCCCCGGCACTCGCCAAGGTCACGGCGCGGCTCTTCAGAGGAGGTTAAAAAAATTAAAAAGGAGAAAAGAGTTTCTTTTTTCAAATCCCAGCTCTCGAGAAGTGAGCAGGCTGCAAGCCGCAACTCACGCCAGTCGCCACCCCTCTCCCCACTCCTCCCCCAGCACCTCGGGGCTGCGGGGGGGACGCGGGGGTGCCACAAACGCACGCTTCCCCTCCCTTACCTGCTTCCGATAGGGGGTCCGCCCGCCGCCCGCCGCGCTGCTGTTGCTGCTGGGGAAGATCATCGCCCCGCCTGATCCCCCGCTCCCCCTCGGGATGGGGAGCAACTTTGGCGGCCGCCGGGCTGCGGCGCGGCGGGGCTGCAGGGCGCTCTCCGCCTCCGTGCCTTCTCCGCCGGCTGCGGCTCCTCGAACCCTCCGCTCGGCCTCCGCCCTGCCCGGCCCCGTTCCGCGTCGACCCTACCCCGCGGCGGCCGCCCAGGCTGCCATCCACGGGCCCCCGCTGACCGCCGCCGGCTGCCCCAGCCCAGCCCAGCCCGGCCCGGCCCGGCCCAGACCCCCGAGCGGCCGGAGCGGGACATCCCGCGGCGCCCCGGCTGCAGCGGGGACAGCCGCGGCGCGGGCACCCCCCGACTGCGGGGCTGACCGCTCCGAGGCGATAAACACTGCGCCCTTTAACTCTCCTAAGTTTTTCTTGACTAGGGATGGGGAGGGGGGAGGAACATCCGGTCACAGCCCTCTGCAGTGCCTCAAGGCAGCTTTGGGAAGCGAGGGGAAATTCTTAAGTTTCTTCACGAAATTTAGGCCTAAGAAACGTTACAATTCTTAGGCTCTGAGACAGGGACATACGGAGGCAAGGAGTTCCCAACTTCACTCCTGGTACTCTGCACTGTTTACATTGCTGTATTTACATTACCCACTGATGTTGACAATCTATTTTCTAAGAAAGTCCAGAGCTCTGTCAGGCCACTGATCAGTGACACTGTAGAAGAACTTCTGCCACAGACATGCATCATCAGGCACCTTTTGGTTTCTCTTCCTCTTTCTGACAATACGGTGGCCCCAATCCCATACACCTCAACATGGCCATAGGAAACAGCTGGGAAGGAACAGAAAATTGCAGGTAGTTCATTACTGAAACGCCAAACAACAGCTGAAAATGCTAGTATTTACAAAAACATACAATCTTCAATTACTGACTTCCCTAGAAATAATCTCTAAGTATTTTGGTATCCTAATATATTTCTACTATAGATCAGAGCCCATCTGAATACAGCAAATGATAGGAAAGCACCAACACTTGGCAGAACTACATTCTCCATAACTTTCCTTTTTTCTCTCTTTCAAGTCCTAAAACGGATCTCATTCCATTTGGCCTCAATTTGATAACACAAGTTTAAGGTCTACTGGATGAAAAGGATGAAAAGCACTGCAGCCACATGGTGATCACTAGCACTGGAAATTATTTGATGGAATAAGTTTGTACCAGCAGGCTTTGTGTAAGGTCAGGTACTGTCTGTCTGTACTACCCTAACTTCATGTTGGATCACAGAACATTTGTATTCCCACTGCTGGCATAAAGCTAATGCCAGAGGCTTAATGCTAGGATAAATTCAGACTCCCTGGCCTGGTTAAGGCCTCATGCCAGCTTCACAACAACATCAGTAGGCATCAATGCTGAAAAAGCAAAAGTTTAGCAACTGATTCTGGGTGAAACCTTTTCTTTTCTTTTTTTTTTTTTTTTTCCTCTGATCAGGTTAATTTTTTTCCATATCATTTCCTTTGTTGGGTTCAGCACGTGGCTGTGCTGCTGCTTGTGCCAGTGTAATGGAGGAGGTAACACTGAGCAAAAATAGGCAGGGGCAAGAGGGTGGATATGAGTGCTTGTTTTGGCAGCAGTACTGGATTATATTGGCTTAATACATTCATCTACCTGCAGCTTGATTTGACAGCAACGTAGCTGTGTGTTCATGCCTTCCTGAGATGTGCCACACACAGCAGTCGATCTGTGCTCTGATCTGACTTATTTCAGAACCCTTGGTCACAGATGTCACAATCAGACTCAGTGCTGGAGAACTGTCTTAAAGCAGTACAAACTGGAACAGTGACAGGCTACTTCCCCTGCTCAGATCTCTATTCTCAACCGAAAAACAAGAGAAATATTTTCTGGACAGTGTTGCAGTCACCCCAAAGGGGTGACAAAGCTTAAGTCTGCTCCACCTACGGGAGGCTTTGTTAGCTGGAGATGTGTATAGTGACCACACCTTCCCCTCGCAGGGAAAAGCTTTTCAAAAACCATCAATCATCCCTTGCTTCCTTCCCTCTCCTCTTCCTGCCCCACCCCCCAGGGAAGAGGCTGGAGGGATGTAAACACTGTATGCTCGATTGGGTCTCAGTCACTGTCATACCAGGGAAGGCTCTCCAGAATATTCCAAAGCAGTATCTGAAATGCTGCTGTTTTGCTCTTTCTGCTGTCACACGTCCCAAGGCTTCCTGTGATTTGGACCCGATTTCCCTCTCTTAGATTCAGTATGTGGCCCATTTCTCTCAGTTACTAGTACTCTCTTTCCTAACATATTAGGAAAACACATAACAACAAATATAATCCTGTAAACATCTAGTAGATCACAATCTAATATTATAGGATTATTTATTTTTGTTAAGGAAAAACTCATTATAGAATTTTCTGGGAAGAAAACTTGATATAATTTCCCAAGTGCTAATGTGCCTATCAACATTATCTGTTGTTTTTAAAAGGCTTGATTAATCTGTCTCCATTTTTGTCTCAAACAGGGAAATAGCTGCCTTCCAATTTGACAATGTTACCAAGAACACAGAGCCAGACTCCTTACAGCATTGTGTCTGGAGAGAAAGGGACAGCAGAACTAAACTGAAACAAGCAAGTTTCTGACTGGCTGTCAGGACAGACAGACATTGCTCTGAGAGGCTGTGCACTCTCCATTCCTGAGCATTTCCAAGACCAGAATGCATACAGCCCAAAGCAACCTGACCTGATCATTTTGCTGATGCTGCTTTGGGCTGGAGGTTTGACTAGAGATCCCCTGGGGTCCCTTCCAATCTGCAGCTATGCTCATATGGAAAAGCTGCTTTGCTCTTACTCCCGAACATAGGCAAAATTATTTCTCTTTAAACCCTGTACTTGAGATTATGTTTATAAAGCTCAAGATAAGTGCCCGGACTTTTCAGTACTTGTGCAGTGATATATCAGTTCAAGTACTGACAACAGTTTTCCTATATATTTTCTGAGATGCAAGAAGCATGCCTTGTTTGCAAAGAACAGTCTCAGTCTTACTGACTTAGCAATGCCAAAACTGAGATGCCTAATCTGTAAAACGTAGGCAAATATGATAATAAAAACCATATTCTCAAGGACTTTGTTATTAACTGCATACAACAGGTGTGAACAGACTTGCAGGTAGCCAGGCATATTGCTGCTTGCAGTTATAAATGAGCAATTCCTTTTGATCCTAAGGGAAAAAGGTGGCCACAGGGTCTAAGAGTGCCTCCTCTATAAATCATTCAGAGCTTCTTTAAATTACCTAGAGTTGCTTATTCAAGAAAAGAAGGAAAACTTATGAGCAGCTCTGGTGCATTTCAGAAATACAATGTAGCAATTTACATGTTCTGTTTCGTTAGTTTGCTTGCAGGTTTGCAGAGAAATGGTTACAAATACAGAAAGAAAGACTTGTCTGGAAACCTGGAGACCTCTGAAAGTACTCAAGAATCTTTCCAGTAATGCTTATCAATCTTAACAAACAGTAGACTGGCAAAACTAAGCCATTATTTAAAAAACAGTTCTACGCATTTAAGCTGCTACTTTACCATTTCTGCTCTAAATCAAATTCATGGCTTCCCTTACTTATCTCAAAATTCAGCCAAAGTAGCTATTTCCCCTGAGGGCATTCAGTGTCTCTGCAGGGCAGATGGTCTCTCAGCCCTGGATCTGCTTTAAATGGGAAACACAGTCTATTGCAAACCCCTGTGAGTCCACACTGGAAATCCTGAATTTCCTTACAACTCTGCTCTCCTGACCACTTCAGGGCCTTCTGAAGACACACTAGTGGAAAAGTGACTGTGGGCACCTCATTTCCCCACCTTGAGGGTACTGAGGAGACTGTTGCCACACTGTTCAGTTCCCTGAGCATCCATCCTCGCATCCACGTGGGCATATGGAGAAAGATAAAAACCAGAGTAGGCAGGAAGCTGAGCCACAACAATGCAAAAATACTTTAAAATACCCTATGCAAGCCAAGGAAGCAGAATGCAGAGCTGAACTTTGAGAGATATTAAACACTTCCTGTAAAGTGTTAATAAAGGGATACGTGAAGCTGAGTATCATACAGAAGCAGATTTTTAAATTTTGGTTTTAATTCATCTATTAGAGCTGAAAGCATGAAAAGAATTTCTAACAACCAAAGCAACAGAGTAAACTTCGTTATATGGGAAGCTCCCTCAGAGATAAGTTATCTCATAATTAATTGTTTTTATTTAAGTATTCCCAGTATGCAGGTAATGAAAGAAATCTGTATCTAGCTAAGTGAGGATGAGGAGAGGTCAACAGAAATGGGACATAGTAATGTTGTGAACATGCCAAAGACTTAATATAGAAAATCTTCTGTAAATTTTCTTTTTTATTAAAAAACAAAAATTATTACGAAACAATGACTTCTGCAGAAGTATATGATCTGCTAAGAATGAGGTATTGCATACACAATAAGAAACTGCTGTTTAAGAATGCAGTCTTCAAAATACTCACATGAATATATTCAACAATAAGAAAAAAATCTCCATGATGATCTGAAAAGTGAAAACAATTAATCTTTTCCAGCTGTACCATTTCAAATACTGGTACCAAAGTACCAAATTACTTAGACTCTACACTAGAACTCAAAAAAAAAAAAAAAAAAAAAAAAAAAAAAAAAAAAAAAAAATTATCACTCATTATAAAATATATCTGCACAGTCACTGTAACATTTTTTTTATCTGAATGCATCAGCTCATTCTCTCTGGGAGTCCTCCAACCTGTCTCTGATTTTCCCATCACCTATACTGCTAAGGTTTTTCCCTTAAATCCAACAGCTCACTGTGAAACAAGAGGAGTCTGTGCTCCCTGCAGTGCTCACAGAATGCATCTGCTGTAGCCACTGGGGTTGTACCTCCAGCGGCATGCTTTGACTCCTATTCATTTTGGCTTGCTGTTCATTCCTTCCATGCTTCCATAAATGTTCTTGGAAAGACACTTAATATAAATTGCACAATTATACATAATTGTTGCCATTCCTTCACTGATGACTGGTATTATGAATATGAACATAGTGAGCAACAAAATCTCCTGCTAATGCTATGCCAGCATTTCATATTATGGAAAGCACTATTTATTACTTAAGAGACACAACAAGATACTTCTTTATAGAAGCATTTCCACTGTCAAACAAATGCCCTTCCTAAATATAACCTGTATATTCTGGAAAGCACAAGTATGAAACATAATTACTGTAAAGGATTACTATGTAAGAGAAATTTAAGGAGGTT